CTGAGTCAACCCTGAGCCGGTGAGATTTGAACAGCCGAACTGCAGTCAGCTGAAGTAGCCTGCAGTGCTGCACTCTAACCACTGCGCCACCTCAGGCCTCAATTCTTTAGTGCTCAGCCTTTCTTATGGTCTAACCTAAACTATATGTAGTATTTTTAAGGAAATCAGCCCTGATTGGTCTTTGGAAGGACAGTTGCTGAAGCTGAAGCTCAAATACTTTGCCCACCTAATGAGAAGACAGGACTCATTGGAAAAGATCCTGATGTTGGGAAAGATTGAAGGCAAAAAGACAAGGGGAAGGCATAGGATGAGATTACAGGTAGTCCTTGATTTACAACAGTTCATTTAGTGACCATTTGAAGTTACGACGATAGTGAAAAAAGTGATTTATGACCGTTGTTCATACTTATTACCATTGTAGCATTCCTATGGTCATGTGATTTATATTTGGACGCTTGACAACTGACTCACATTTATGACATGCAGTGTCTTGGTGTCACATGATCCCCTTTTGCGACCTGACAAGCAAAGTCAATGGGGAAGCCAGATTCACTTAACAACCCTATTACTCATTTAACAACTGCAGCAATTTACTTAAGAAACTGTGTCAAGAAAAGGCACAAAATGGGGCAAAACTCACTTAACCAATTTCTCACTTAGCAACATAAATTTGGGGCTCAATTGCGGTCGTAAGTTGAGGTCTACCTGTAGTCAAGGGTCATCTATGCAGAGATCATGGATTTGGGCAAATCCTGGGAGACAAGGGGAGGACAAAGGTGCACGGAGTGCTATATGGGTTTGCAAAGAGTTGGACCTAATTTAATACACAGTACATAATTAATGTATATATATTTTAAAAAAAACTTAAGATTCCATTACATTTAAAAATTATAAATAAAGAAACTTGGATAGGAGTGGGGAAAAAGATCCGGTTTTAAACACCCAGCACTGGCACTTCAGTGTAAGAGGCGGAGAAGGGAAGGGAAGAGGCAGGGCGGAAGGACGGCGTCGAGGAAGACGAGCCGAAGTCACCAGCTACCTGCTTGCTGTCCGAACACCCCGCGATGGTCTTAGTGGTGGTCATGGGAGTGAGCGGCTCCGGGAAGTAAGCGGAACTTCTGGGATGGGAGGGGGAGAAGAGTAATGAGCGACCGGAAATACAAAAAAGGCCGCGCTGCCTTGTCGCCGGCAAGGGAGGGAAGTTTGCTTTCTGTCGCTGCGCCCGCGGGGAGCCTTGCCGGGGCCCGTTGAGGGGAGCCGGGGCAGAGGCTTATCTGGCTTGCCCCATCTCCCTGGCGAAGGAGCTGGGGGCGGAGGGGGTGCAGGGAGGGTGGTCGTCGCTGACCTGCGTGAGAAAAGCAGCGTGGGAAAAGCAGCGTGGGAGACTTTTGTTGGGCGGGGAATCGAACTTCCCCATCTATCCCCGGGCAGCAAAGGTGGGAAGGCAGAAGAGGGCTGTAGTGAGCCTTTGATAAAAATGAGGATAAGGTACACACGCGTATATGTACAGACGAACAAGCAAAATACGCACCGCATTTCGGCTAGGGACACTTCCAAGTCATTTCTGATGTCTTAGTCCTAGTAAAATTCAAAAAGTAGGTCAGTTTACCCTTATGTATCCGGTCTTAACTTAAATGAGGCTGGGAATTAGCAACCTGGAATTAAGGAGATAGGAGAAACTTCCCAACAGGATAATTAACCAGTGGAACAGCTTGCCTCCAGAAATCTCATGGGTGCTCCATCATGATTTTTTTTTAAGAAAAGTCTCTAGACAGTCACTTATCTGAAATGGTATAAGTTACCCTGCTTGAGCAGGGGGCTGGACTAGAAGACCTCCAAAGTCCCCTTCCAGCTCATTCTATTAATAGTCAGGAAATTCCTTCTCATTTCAAGTTTTATTTCTGTGAAGCTTCCATCTAAATGCAAAGACTTGGTTCTCTGGAAACTAACTAAAGGAGTACATCCTTGTATACCTGACAATCATTCAGAATGAACAACTGAATGTATTCAAAGATGATTACAGATAGTCGTGGACTTACAACAGTTTCCTTATTGACTGTTCAAAGATACAATGGCACTGAAAAAAGTGACTTGTGACCCTTTTTCACACTTACGACCTTTGCAGCATCCCTGTGGTTACATGATTTACATTTGGATGCTTGACAACTGTCTCAGTTACGATGGTTGCAGTGTCCTGGAGTTACACAATCCCCTTTTGCAACCCTCTGACAAGCAAATTGGGGGGGGGGGGACTGGATTCACTTAACAAATGTGTTACTTATTTAACAATTGCAGTGATTCGCTTAACCAATACGACAAGAAAAATCATAAAATGGGGCAAAATTCACTTAACAAATTTCTCACTTAGCAACATAAATCTTGGGCTCAATTGTAGTTGTAAGTAGAGGATTACCTGTGTTGTGCAGGAAAACATAATGCCTTATAATGCTTATAATGTAGGGATCTGGGAAATAGTGCCTTACTGATTGATTGGGGCCACTTTAGGATGTGCTCCGATGTTTGGGAGGTAGACCTAGGTGCTTGTGGACTTGTCTATTCAAACCTTTCTCTGTTTATGTGGCATGGTTAACTTTAATCATTGGACCACTCCAAATCATATTCCCCCATGGCCATGAGATGTGTATGAATTAATAGGACTGTGAAGATTCAGAGGCCATAAGATCCAACGTTATGGAATGAACATTAGCATCTCCTTAAACCAAGTGTCTTTCCGACTCAAACCCAGGAAAATATGCATTTGGTTTACATCCGTGCACATTATGAAGCAGTTTTTTGCCTTTGAATCTGAAGTACTTAACAGATTAGTTTGCCACTGATTTATTTATTAATAAAATTATCAATAAAAAGCAGGATAGAAATGTTACAAATATAGGAGTACAAAAAATACATTTGCATATTTCTTTGCAAGAATATTATTGGAATCCAGATTCCAGAAATATATATGGCACCATTCTCTATTTGTGTTTTCTTTAGTACTTACGCCCAAGCACTTGTGAGAAAAAGAGTGACATTCATTTCTTTGTTTAAAGCCTTGCCATAATTATGCAGTTAACCTTATGAAGAACAAGCATCCAGTATTGTGACCAAGACATTCACAGCAGGTCTAGCAGATGCAGAGAGTATGTTTGGCCTTGGTCTTCATATCTGGCCCTAAAATATTTCACTGAACAAAGTCTTCTGATACTTGTGTGGCTCAAATGATTTTTCCTGAAGAGAAGAAGCAGCAGACTGTATGAATAAGAGCAATTTTGAGTCAGATGAAATCATGTAGTCTCAGTTATTATAGAAATAGAACTTATACAGGTCCTTGATCAGTTGGTTATTAGTTATTTGTAACTGAGACATGTTCATACTGAGAATTCTTACAATTTACTAAAATAGAAAAATATACGGCATATTATTTATTTTAGCATTTAGCCAAGTGAGGTTACAAATACAAGATATGTTTACAAATAGGCTGAAAAAATCTATTAAATATATAGAAATAATTTATTTTACACTATGTTGATTGGAGATACTTCACATTTATATAAACCTTGTTATATTTCCCTAATAGCATTGTTGGAGAATCTTCTGACGTGAAAATGTAATTTTGTATTGCATAAAGGAATTACTATGGGTGTGTTCACTACCCACACAAACATGTCAAAATTAATCTGGTACCAGAGTAGAGTAGAGATGGACAAATAGTTACCAAAGAATAGAACAGAGCATTGAAAGAATAAACTTGCAAGGAGTTGTGAGTTGCTTCTTTGATGAAGTTGCTTAAAATTGTTATAGTCATCTGCAGCTATTACACTTTATGTTCTTGGTTATTTATTTATTAAAATTATTCACTTTCCATCATAACCATGGAAGTGTGAAATTTATGTTCCAAGCATGCTGTTTCATGGTGGCTGGGTCAGATGATCCAAAGATGCAATCATGGCTTTTTCCATCTGATTTTTGGGCAGCAGCCAGTATATCAAAAGTGATTACAAATTTAACTATATATAATTCACAATAAAGATATCTCTGTTAGTTTTTCATACATGAAATGTTGTTTGCCAAATTCACCATCAAAAATAATCCCTAAATATGTTAGGATTAAAGTGTCAGCTGTGTAGGTACATGTGTTGGTGGTTATCAACTTTTAACAAAGAGAATTATGTCCGTAATTGCAATTTAAATTGTTTATTTATATCCCATCATCATATATGCTATCCTCTGTGGCGTTAACTTCACAGCAGGCCTGTAAAATAAATAAGACAGAATTCATGTTAAATTCTAAAGTACATTAGAACTTTTTTGCTTGGGATAGAAAAGTCTTAATTCTATAATTCTCAATACTAATTCCCCTATTTTTCTAGAGGATCTTTCAGGGAGCATAAAAATTGTAGGGAAGAGAGAATCAGCAAAACATTCAATATGACTGCCCATCTGTTTTTTGTTCTTGGAAATATTTGAAATAGTGAACAATTGCCTTCTCATTTCCTATCCATATAATTTGAAGAAACTAATAGTATATATTGGAAACTAGGTATTTTTTACAAGTGGGCTATTCAACCAATAAATGATTCTAAAACATCATCCCTGACCACTTGAGAATGTTTGGGGGCAACAGATGGAAAGAAAACCTCTGATTAAGACATGTGTTTTAAATGGCCAGATTCATGCATGATGCTAAATCAAACCAAACAACCTTATCATGATGTGTTTATCTGGACTTAATGTTTTCTTCTTTGTATGTAATTTTTATACATGTTTTATTTTACAGATCCACAGTGGGCACACTTCTGGCAGATAAGGTAGTTAATATTTGTATAATTGTTGATTGTTTATTCACCATTTCTTACAAGTATCTTTGAAGGTAGATAACAACTGTAATAGCTTAGTGCAATCATAACATATAAATATGAAATTCTTAAGAGTATTGGAAAGCTAGTTCCTTGATCATTCACACTGTTTATACATTCAAAAGTAGCCTTGATTTTGCATCCATGCTGTTAGTTTGCCTTGACATGCACAGGCAAAAATAGTGATGTGACCCACAAATTATATTTCTCTTGGCATTGCATACAATAGAGTTGTGGCCTAGGTTGATTTTCCATGGCTTCTAAGACCCAGCAGCCACAACAATCATCGCGGTAACCAACTGACATTATGAATGTGATTGTATAAACATGTAAATACTGTACTTTGTATGTGTATCAAGATATTTGACACAAGTTACAGCATTTACATGATTATGTCATCAACATACCATATTTTGCCCCCCTCCGATAGATGCCCATGAAGCAAGTTGGTCTTAATTCTTATACTTCCCAAATACCAGACAATAATGTTGATTGGGGAATTAAGAAGTTATTCCCAATGTAGCTGGAAGGCATAAGGTTAGGGAAGGCAGGAAGTACCTGAGACAATAAAACATATTGTCATAAAATACAGTTTATGTATATAAATTGTATTTATATATATATATATATATATATTTGGTGTGTGATATTGTGTATGTGTATAATATATATACATACCTACACACACACACACACAGAGTGAGGATACGGTCTATTAGATATATTTATTTCCTTAATTTGCAGACCTTTAATTTTGAGAGAAATCTTGTATTATTAATGTGAATCATATGATATACAATTGCTACAACAATTGCCTTTGCTCTAAAAGATTTTTTTTATTAAAACTAAATAACCCATTGTTATGTAGCTAGGCTGGAAATTCTATGAGGGTGATGACTATCATCCAGAGGAGAACAGAAAGAAAATGGCTGAAGGAATACCTCTAACTGACCAGGTATTGTACATAGTCTTGAGGTCACTTTCATCTAATAAACAAAATTATTAGTGATGGAACTGGAGACACTTCATTACACAAAAACTGGATGATCTGAAGATACCAGATGACTGAATTAAATACTCTGCTTCAAAACTATGTCATTTAATGTCACTGTTTCCATGGGAGTCAGTCTTTTTCGTCTTGAAGAGCATTGTATAAAATAGTCCTAGATGATCTGATTGTAATTCAGCTGACCTTGTAAGGAGTCTTTTCATCCAGATTCTCCCAAACTGATAGCTGGATAGTCATTCCTTTGCTCCCTCAGTAAACTGAATTTTAAATAAACCCAATATTGATCATACATTAAGTACATAGGTTTAATTATTCAACAAGACATTCTGGAGTATGACCTTAAATGGACTCAGAAAATATTTCTAAAAGTTGTAAGAATTAACAAAAAACCAGCAGTTTGAACTCTTAATGCTATGGGCCAGGGAGTAGAAAAGATTTGTCTTTCAATATCAAGAGGCATTATTTGAGAATGTTTCAATTATTAAACATTTATACCTGTCTCACATGCAAATAAGTCAATAATCAAGACTTTGTAACTAGATTTCAACAATATATGGAATGAGAACTGCAAGGTACAGAATTTGATTTCGGAAGAGGCAGGGGCACCTGAAGTCACATTGCTAACACTGAGTGGATAATGAAGGAGTTCTAAAGATACAGCTATTTTTACTTTATTTCTTATTCTAAGGCTTTTTATGTGATAGACCAGAACAAATTGCCAATTGCCCTTGAAAACATGGATATATCAGGCCACATCATCTGCTTATTAAATAAACTGTATGAGAACTAAGAAAGAAGAGTGAGATGGAATATGGAGCAATTATATAAATGGTTCAGATTGGGATAGAAGTGCACCAAGATTTATATTCTTTATATTTATATTTATTTAACAATTTCAATATTTATCCTGATACATGCTGAACTAATGAATAGAAATTGGAATTGAAATTGTTGGGGAAAACTAAACTACGAAAGAATGTTGGTGATTGCATTTCAATGGCTTGTACAAAATGTGCTTGGTATTATATGTCATTTATACAGCTGAACTGATGTCTCCCCCGCTCCCCGCAAAAGATCAAGAGCTATGAATTTTATATGTGATCTGTTTTCTGTTCCAGTGCTGACAGTATATGATTTCTTGAAAAGGCGATTACTTTCTTTTTTAATGAATGAACACATATTCCGTTCACCTTTCAACACTGGAGTTGTCCACTCAGAGTTGTCAGTTATAAAAAAATTGCCTAGTGCCATTTAAGTGAAAATGTGATGCTTTTATAAGCAACTATGAACTTTGAATAAGATAGTTTAATTGGATTATACCAAGAAATGTATTAATCGTTTTGACTAACTTGCCTCATTTATGACAGAGGAGGCAGAAATTGCTGCCATAAAGAAAGAGCTATATGTTGAAGCCGATAAATAATCTTCACTAGTATAATGAGGCTTTGATACACTTTTAAGATTTCTGACAGGAAATATTACGAATTGCTAATGCTAATTGCTTTTGCAAATGATTCAGATTATTTCAGGTGAATATGCATTATTTGCTTAACTGGTCTGTCTTGTTTTTTTTTTAGGATAGGATACCATGGCTTTGCCACCTACATGATATATTAATGAGGTAAAAGAATGTTCCCATTGTAACATGAAACTGGTCCTGAACGCATTCTGTTGCTGAGCATGCAGTTCATCTAGCTTTAGTGTCCCGAGTTTGGTGAACTTCAAAACTCCCAACCCCCTAAATCTAAGCATAAATGCTAGGTATTAAATATGAATAATTTTTGAGACATGGCTTGGAGTAGAGTAAGGTATCCCATAGATAAAGAGATGTCCTAAATCCTTTGAGTAGCATTGTTTCTCTGTGACTGTAGGAAGCAAACTTCTATAATATTAAGATTTGCTGTATATTGATTTTTAGTAGATCTAACCTGTTAACAATCAGTATACTGTTAGCTTTGGGATTTCAGTGTTGGATTAGGATTTGTTGAACATGGTTAGTAAGGGATGGACTATAACAGAGGGTTCCAAAAAGGTAGCAGTTGAAAAAGTGGGGGAATTATGTGGTTTGTTGCAAATTATTTAGTTGCAAACTAAATAATTACATAAACTGGTGAATTGGGACATCAGTCAGAATGCCTTTGTTCTGGCAGTTTTACTACACACAGAATTTTTGCATGGGAGAATTTAAAATATTTCATTATCTTAGTATATCTTAATTGTCTGAATGCCTAATTCCAGTTCTAATTAAGTTAAAACACACACACACCCCACTAATGCATAGATATTGTCAAATTCTAATTTTTACAGAGAAGATGCATCTGGACAAAGTGTCATTTTAGCTTGTTCAGCTCTCAAAAAAGTGTATCGGTGCATTTTGGAGAACGGAGAGGCTGGATGTCAGAGTTTGAACAATCAACAAGAAGAAAAAGAGTCTGCTCCAAGAAAGATCCTTTTTGTCCACCTGGCAGGGCCAATAGAGCTCATTGCCAGCCGCCTAGAAAAAAGAAGGGGACATTTCATGCCACCAAGTCTACTCCAATCTCAGTTTGATACTCTTGAACCTCCATGTGCGCCAGAAAATTTTATCACTGTTAGCTTGGAAAAGCCTGTTTCAGAAACTGTATCTGAAATCGAAAGACATCTTAGAAGTTTGTATTGATGTTTCTCCAGGCTTTCTTGTTTTGGAGCCTGATAACCGCAAATAAATGTTCCTCTCCAGTAATGGTATCCCATTTTCTTCATTACGGGTTCGGTAGCGGGAGCCCATGCGCATAAGGTCCATGATGATGTCTGGGTGGGTGGGCAGAGCCTTGCGCCGCCACCACTACCGGTTCACCCGAACTGGTGTGAACCAGCAGAATACCACCTCTGTTACTCTTGCATAATGTATTCTCCTGATTAAGCAACATATTTATGTGTTATTTACTATACTTGTAGCATGAACAGAAAATTAAGCCTGCCTAGTTTTTTTATTTATTCATTATCTTATACTATTTTTTTAATTGTATCATAATATTGACATTTATTTTAAAAATTGCAGTTGAAAGTTTAAGATAAAACAAACTCTTGGTGAGCAGTCATATACTTCACATACTTGCTGGGTGAGAGAGAAGACTGCTGCTGCATTTGGTAAAATGGAATATCAGAAAACATATAGCAGTATCCTTGAATCAAGTGGAAAGGGATACCATTGTAATTTAATAGTAGTAAAATGCTGTCAAAAAAACCTAGAATTGGAACATTGAAAGCAGCAGGACTGCTTATTCTAAGGTGGCTAATGCAAAACCATACTCTGCATCTATCTATCCAGCAAGGGCATATTATTTTTACTGAGGACTCTACATTTTATTTTGTATTAAAAGGCAAAATCATAACATCAAAACTCACTTTTGTCATCATATTTTATTTTAAATTATATAGTCACCCATCTCAGCATGATGAATCCTGGAGGCTAACAATGGTTAATATCCAACATAATAAACACCACAAGCCCAGATTCATAGTTACCTCTTCAAAGCTTTACCAACAGGAGTAAGAATAATTTATAATGTTCCAAACAGCAGGCACAACAATTGAAAGATATTCTTTCTAGGTCCCACCAGTTGGCATTTATTTATTTATTTGAGGGTCTTGTCTCCTGCAAGCAGCACCTTCGCTTGAACCTAGAAATCATTACTAGAGTTTTACAATAGGAGTACCTATATGACATTAGATTCCTACTCTGATCTACCTTGAAGGTCTGATAGGTAGGGGTAAGCTCTTCTTCATCCACCCCCTCCCCCCTATCTTCAATGCTGAGAAAACATCCGCAGGATCCCTTGGTTGGTCAGTAGTAAAGAGATAAAGCCAGGTATTGGAATATTGATATTTCATCCCATGCTTTCAGATAGCTTCACCAGCAGTTTCATGTAAATGTTAGTAGAGAGTGGTGAGGTACCATCTAGAATCTGCCCCATAGGAAGGAGAGAACCAACATAACCCAGTGCTGTTTACTTCCAACCAACCAAGTTGGTTCATAAGACTACCAGGATTAATTGTATGGAAAGCCACTCAGATTTTAAAAGGAGGATGTGTACAGTACACCATTCGAATTCTGCTCCTGCCAAAATGTCAGGCACAACCAGACCTGTGTGTAAGGTTCACCTCTTTATTATATCCTGTCTATTATACAGGAATCCCTCCAGACTGCCAGCCTTAGCCAAGTAACAGGTAAGATTCTATGGAGCTCAAGGGGGAGTCAGTTCTGAACCTCTTGCAGCTGCTCAAAGACTTGAGGTTAATTCCGTGCTCTAGGCTTCCCCGCTCTCTGGTTGGAGGTTTCCCAGATCATCTACAAGCACAATGTAGTTTTACTGTCTGACAGCAGAACTCAAGACTCTACTCTGAAAAAGCTCCTCTAACTGAATCAGTGGAATATCAGCCTCAGGAGGCACCAAGTCAGGAATCACCTATGACTGATCAAACCCAGGCACTATCAGAACAGCTAGATGAAATTCTGCTTCTTAAGCTCTCAGACTTTGGAAGTCCAAAGAGACTACCTGGAGAGCAGAGCAAAATCACTCAATAAGGTTCCTTGCAACAAAAAAAAAGGTATTACTATCTTAATTAAACATAGCTAGTGGCAGTTGTGAACCATATTCTTCTGTGGGAAACAATTATCTGATCTCCTGTTGTGTCATTCCTGTGAATTCGGGTCATATAAAATCCTGAAACTTGACTTTGGAGCTAGGTGACAAATCTGACTTGGGTATCTGAACTCTGGACTGGATTTTGACCTCTGTATATTCCTATTGAAAGCAAAAGTGCATAGACAAGCTTTCTTTCCCAGAGCCTGTTTGATTTACACTTCTTTTCTTTCCTTGTCTGCTCTTCATCTACTCAATCTTGAATAAATTTCTATTCTCACCTAGCAACTGTGGGTGTGGGCGAGTTCAAAACCTGGTCTCGGTTTCATGCCCAGATCTGAATCCTAAGAGGTCCAGATAATTTGCTTCCATGTTAATATTCTCTACAAACCTCCCCTTTTAAAGAAACAATGACATCACACCTTCACTCAAAGAATTCACCAGTTAAAATCCAATCACATCATTTCAAAAGATATGGATCTAAATATACAGCTGGTTGAGCTGGTGTATGTAGTCTTCAGTTACTATCCATTCAGTTAACATTTGAAGTTATGAAGGCACTGAATGAGACTTGCAGCTAGTCCTCAAAGTTGTGGCCATCAGAGTCCTGGAGTCATGATTGCCATTTGCAACCTTCACTGCTGACTGGACAGTCAACGGGAAAGCGGGCAGACTGCAAATGGTGATTACATGACATTGAATCTAAAAACTGGAACTGCTTAACTACTATTGTAATGGTTGCATACAACCATCAGTGTAGTCAAATGACATTGTACTTTATGACTCCGTTGCGTAATGATGGAATTACTGGTCCCAATTACTATTATTAGTAATTACTCTCCTAAGGCATACTTAACTCATCTTAAAGTATCTAACCCTCAGAGGGCCTTTACTCTGGCACACCCACACCTTATTTGTCCTTGAAGGCCAATACAAGATCATCCCTACCCAGAGAGACAAGGCCTGTGACTCTGGATATGCATAAACTACAGAACATGCATATTCATCATTACTACATAAAAAACGAGGAGACAAAAAAACCAATTTTACACGTCCCTGCAGCTCTTGGATACCATGCCTGTCACGTTGCCAAGTTCTGCACAGCCACTCTTAAAATTAACCAGATAACCCATGCCACAAACCAGTTTTATTATCTAGCTTTTTGTTCTAGTGCCTTATATTTTGTTTCCTGTGCTCCCCTATGTCCATCTATTTGCTTCTACCTCTCCATTTAGGACTTGTTTTTATATTTTAGCTGTTTATAATTGTATTGCATTTTTAAATATTTTAATGTATTCCATTCCCCTCATGCTAGCCTTGACCTTAATAAAGGTTTGATTTGATTTGTTGACCAAGTGCTGTGGTCCAAAACCTCTACAGGTATTCCTTGACTTATGACTGTAATACAGCTTGCCTATTACAGTCCTAAGTCATGACAGTTGTAAAATGGGTTAGCCATGTAACTGACCTATTTTATGTCAGTCATTAAGCAAGTTCATTGTTTGCTATGAGCCAATTACCCCCCCCCCCAAAGAAACCCAGAAGGAAATGCCAGGTTTTGGCAGAAACGCCATAAAACAATTATGTTACTCTGGGAGACTATAAACGGCCATAAATGCAAGCCAGTTGCTGAGTGCTCAAAATACGGCCACATGAATGCTGTATGTGTATGAGAGAGAGACAGAGACAGAGAGAAATATCATTGGAATTGGGTCATAAATATCCCCAGGGAGTCATTGTAACATTGACCGGTCACTTAAGAGACTTTATCCACTTACCATGCCTAATAAGTTCAAACTCCTCCCAGGTAACCAAGCCATTTGAGCTTCAATCATCCACATAGAATCTGCTTCACAGGCAAAGTCCAACTTGGAATAAAGGTACCCTATTTTTCAACACTATAAGACGCACCAGACCATAAGACACATATTAGCTTTAGAGAAGGAAACGAAGAAACAAAAAGGCCTTTGCCTCCCAGCATCCATCCGGTATTCATCTGGCTAGCGTCCTTGCAGCAAAAAGCTAATAGTCTGGTCAGCTTCACCACGTTATTGCAACCCTAGCCCGTGGCTCATCAGGGCTCCACTCCATTGCGCCCACCACCGGTCAAGTGAGCTGAGCTGCTGCTGGGGAATACTGAAGTCTTCGCTGCTAAGCAGCTGATTGGTGATTGGATCGGCCACTCGGAATATCGTCAATCAGCTGTTCTAGGTGGCAAGGATTGCTGCCACTTATGGCCATCACCATTTGGCAGTGGCTGGCACAGGTGGCAGCAATCCCTGCCTATAACAGCTGAATGGCGGTATTCCAGGCAACCGATCTAACCACCAATCAGCTGCTCATCAGCAAAGGCTCCAACATTCCCCTGGCAGTGACAGGCAGCACCAACCCCCTGCCGCAATATTTGCTCTATAAGACACACAGACGTTTCCACCGACTTTTTGGGGGGTGGGGAGGGGGGAAATGTGTCTTATAGTGTACAGTGACTTTATCTAACAGATATCCAACAGCATAGCAACCTTGCAGATGAACCTTCAACCCTGGGTTTTTTAAAACTACTGGCATTTCACCACCCTTATATGATATAAAACTGAATTGTGATCCACACTGGAACCCACTTCGTGATGGTTGAAAATTTCTGGCATATCTACCAAAATAAAGTAACTTGAGACACTTCTGTATTATTCTTTGCTTGCTTACTACAATAATATGTTATCCCACCCTGAAAAATATACTGCAAGTCAAAACTTCACAATTTAATACATGGTGAATGTGTGCTTTATTACCTCCAACAGAAAGTGTGTTGCTCAAAATAATGGCCTACAGCAAGAGTGTCATGGCTGTGACTTTTAATTAGAGTAACAGGAGATAAAGGGACTGGAAATACCAGTTACGATACGTTGTTTTGAAAAAAGGGAAACAGGTTATGTGGATATAGCTAAAAGGGAAAAGGCAGCACTATGTTAACTGAGCCAAGTCGACAATTATGGTTTGTTGTTCACATAAATCCAATAATCCAGATTCAGAAAGTTTTGGTCTTAATTCCACGGGTGGCCTGCTATTGGAAAGGAAATGACTTTTTTTTCTAACCCTTTGTTCCAGATATTGACAGGTGTAATAATTGTTACAAAGATTATTATATCACAGGGTAGATGGAGAATCACAAATGTTACAATGTTGTAGTCATAAAGCTACAGCTTTGAAGATGAAATGTTGCTTTTCTGTTACTGCAGAATGCTGAGACTGTTCAACTCTTTCAAAGATAGCTACCGAAGTTATGTTCAAAGCATTGCAGACTTAGAGACTTACATAAAGTGTGCCCTCTGGTGGTAGAATTATTAGTAAAACATTGTTACTTGATGTATCTCAATGCTGGCATGTTGTTTGAAGATTAGAAACATTCTGAATATGCTTAAAATTATCACGCATTTCCATGATATATTTTATTATGCCATCCGACAAGTTCTTCATATCTGAAAGTATAGCAAGCATTAAATAAATTTAATGTTTTGAGCAAAATTCAGAATGGGAGTCCTGTGACACCCCAACCCCCCCCCCCAAACTTTCCATTTGAATAACATCTGGAGTTAATGTTCCTCAACACTGACTCCACGAATGAACTGTAAACTAATGAAACCTACAAATTCCAAACCAATAGTCCAAAAAAATGGGGGAGGGAAGGCGGAAATGCTCTGTATGAGATAAACCTACTAATAATTATTCATTTCACACATTGCATTCTACTGTAAAATGATTTGCTTTCTATGTGGGGGAAACTTGGTTTACTTAGTAAACATGGATAAATGTTAATATATGAATCCAATCTTGTATGTATGCGTGTGTATCTATCTATCTATCTATCTATCTATCTATCTATCTATCTATCTATCTATCTATCTATCTATCTATCTATCTATCATTGAATATCATTTACATTGATCACTGAAAGAATATTTGGGAAGTGTTGTGGTGGTATCTGTACTAAGAAGTATGAATGTTTCATTAAATAAATTACAATTGTGTAATTAAAAATTAGAGTGGAGACATCAGCCAATTAAACAATATACAACTGAAGAAGAAAATATGTTAAGATCAGTAATTGTTTTAGTCTTTTTTTTTTTACTTTTCATCTATCTTTATATTAAGAATTCAAGATCTAAAAAAATGGTGTAAAGACAAAATCCTCCCCCTCTAAACCAAACTACAACAGCAAAAACTACATAGTTGATGTCACATCTAACAGTCTCTGTGTAACTGGGGACTCCACCTGGCAGTCAAGGGTGTCTCTAACACGGTGAAGTAGAATGGTTCTTTTCCTCAAGCCTTGTGCACAACAATAAGCATATAAATTGATTTCCAGGATAGAGCTCCATATTTTAATTCTCATATCTTGTTTTAAAGAAAAGATTAATAGTTGATCTGAAAAAACAGAGATACAGCCAGAGAGGGGGGCTAGATTGACAAACAATTTGATCTAAAGCAAGTAGTTTTGGTTTTCACACTGCCAACGTCTTCCAGCTCAATTCATATGAAAGGTTGGCTAGGAAATCTATTACTGGACCCAGGAATATTTGTTTAGAGCAAAGAATGCAGCTTGAGACCTCAGGACTAAATATGATTTCCCAAAATGTACTACCATAGAGTAATCTTTAATGTGGCATGAAAGGAAAATAAATGATTGATGTTTATCACAGTAATAGTTAAAACTCAAATGTAACGATAAATCTATTAAAATATAATTTCGTTAACATTAGAAATTCAGCAAAAACCCAGATAAGCTGATTTGAGAAAATGTAAAATGTTCAAATATGTGAAGGAAGCTTCTATAGCAAAATTGTTTCAGATAATACTTCATTTCCAGAAAGAGCATCCAAAATGCATATTATTTGGACTGGGAGAGAAGGAAGCTGAATAAGATGGTCTCAGCTTTAATACTGTATTCTGAATTTCTTTATCAGGATAAAATGACTTTAAATTGTTGCTCACAAAGAAGTTTAATTTATTTATTACCTGTGCACAAGAGAAATAACTACCAATAAAAACCCAAAAGATATACAGTATTTTTACATGGTGGTTAAAAGTAATTAAGAGTATCACATGACAGGGTCAGTGAAAATATGCATCAATTACAAATCATAATGCAAGTTAGAATCTCAAGGGGATAAAGTTGAGAAGCTTTAGCCAAAAGCAGTCTCAGATCAAATGTGCTCCTCCAATCTGCACAAAGATGAAGGTAATAACAATCAATCCTTGTGAATATTGAGACAATGTTACAATATAATTCTGTACATTTATCAAGATCAGATCAGCAATCTCAGTATTTTAAAAGACTCTGCCAAGCACTTTTATCAAGAGATGCTCGCTAAAGATGCTGTAAGATTCTATTACATTGGAGATGTCTTGCACATTTCATTTATTCTGGGCTCTGAGATATTTTATATTATTGCAATGAAAAAAATCTGCTTGGAAAAAAACTTTTTCCAAATGTATATACTTTTTAGAGATAAAAGAGCAAGAATAGCTAAATCAAGTGGTATAAATCTTGCAGCATTTTGCTAGTAAGAGAGACATGCCAAGTCACAATAAGCAATATGTACCCACAAATCATAGCTTCAATTAGTTTCCTCTTTAATTTTTATTCTACATAAATTACTATCAAAGGCTAATGTTTAAAGAAGCAACTAAATTGGACAGTTGAAGGTCAGATAAAACCTGGTCACTCAACTGTGGAAACGGATTTCCATTTAAAAAAAAAATCACAATAAATGCAAAATGAAGAAGTGTTTGATGCATGCAACAACCAAGTGAAAAGCATTGATTCCCACTGTTCGAAGAAAACTACTGCACTCCACCTTAAATGCATCAGACTGGGATTAGTTAGAACAAGACAATTCCCAAGAGTCAGAATGAAATAAAGCTGGTAATTTTAAAGATTTAAGAGCTGTTATCAAAAATAAATTACATTTGTCAAGTTTCAGAAACGTTGCTATGATGGCTGGGAACCCAGTAGCCTTTCAATGGCTGCATTGATGTCACCTCCTGTTGCTATTAGAGCTTGTAAATTGGCTTCACGGTTCAAGAAGCCCATTGCGCTGAGCTGCTCCAGTTGCTGCTGAAACCTGACTTCAGGATTTTGTAGTTGCTAAACAGAAATAAATAAAAACTTTTAATACTTTTTTACTTTTCCATTCAATGCACTTTGGGGGGAAAAGAATCAGAAAGTTAATTTCAATCACTCTTTTGTAATCAAATATCCTATTATTTTCCAAAACATTGTAATGATGTGAAGCGGAATACTGTAATACCGAAGTAAAATCTTATAGATTCAAATGGTTTCTATCCTGAGAACATGGGTAATAATAACATAATAAGAAAGGGATAATAAGAATTCCCACAAAAAGTTCATACAGAACTTGCAGAGCAGATTTATAAAAAAAAATCTGCCACATTCCAATTATCCCTCATTCCTGATGCATATGCCCTAAATATGTGGGGCTTTAAAAATACATCGTAAGGGAGGTTAGTCCAAGTTAGGGAACACAATGTACAAGTTATATCGGCTAGCATGAACA